TGTTACAGGATTATATTTTCCATGTGTGTTTCAACAATTTATAATCAATTAGGCTTAACTAGGCAGGTGTATTAATCTGTAATTACTATACAGCTCTTTATTAAAATTTTATATTTCACATCTGGTAGTTCAATAATATCCACTTTAATCTTTACTGTTTCACATTTACAGTGAAAAGAAAGCCCCATATAACATACTGAAGATAGACTGGGCTGAAAAACAGGAAGGAAAGATAAAAAGATTTTTTTTTTAAAATGTTATTTCTTCTTCTTGGAGTCTATACTGAAAACAAATACCTCTAAATTTTATTAGCACATTAGGAGTTTAGCATTTAATAAAAAATTATGTATGTATTAATACTTCTCTTCCGGTCTTTTAATGGCAAGGATATTGGATTCCGACTCGACTCACTACATACCATCCTGCACCAGGAAGTCCTGTTACAAGAGGATGTGGAGTTAATTGAGCTACTTGATCCCAGTATCCTGTCTGCAGGGCAACCTCAACAACAGGAAAATGGACACCTTCCAACACTTCGCTCCCTGGCAACCCCTAATATTTGGTACTGTCCAGAAAACATCTATCCTTTGCTTACATACAGAGTATCAGCAGAGGAAATCCATCATCATGCTCTCCATTGTAAAGGCATTATAAACTTCCATACATTTTAGGATTGTAATTAATGTAATGATACACCAGAGGTTTAAAAAAAAGAGTACTTTTCTGAAGTAAATACTATTTAGAGTGAAGCTGGAAAAAAAAATCCAATTTGATTATTATATACTTTCAACTCAGTATAATTAGTTCTGTGTTTAACAGCCCAACAAAGAGGTATAACATGTGCCAAAAAGAATCTCTCTTACCCATATATATGTGTGCATGCAGGCCTAATCAGTTCTTTATGTTTCTTTATAATTAATAGATTATAGCATAATCACATCGTAGAAAAAACAAGGGTAGGAAGGGACATGAAGATAAATTGTTACCTCTTGTTTTGTTGGCTGAGAAGAGATCGTAGGGAACATAGTCTGACGATTCAAACCATCCTAAAACTTTTCAATCACTTCAGATATTTGGGTCTAATAAAGAAGTCCCAGGCCATCATCTGTTTAAAAAAAAGAAGAAAAAAAAGGGAATAGTAATAAGTGATTATATATACAGAACTGTTAATGTCCTCTTCCTGTTATAGTGAGTTTATGAAATGAGCTAAATCATTGCTCAAACGGTTCAACTTACACAGGCAATTACATTCATGGCCCTT